CGGCATTAAATCTGCGCAGGAAGTTTTCCAGAAGAGAATTTCGCAGCATCTTGATGACCTCGAAGGTGTAGCCACTGAGATTGATGACATACTCATTTGGGGATCTGATGAACAAGAGCACGACGCACGATTAGAAGCCACCTTACAACGATGTGAAGAAATAAACCTCACGTTAAATATAGACAAGTGCAAGTTCAATGTGAATGAAGTATCGTATTGTGGTCACAACTTCACGAAAGACGGTGTGAAACCTGACGAGTCGAAGATTAAAGCAATTCAAGATATGCCAACACCCTCGTCGAAGAAGGAGATTGAAAGATTACTTGGAACTGTAAATTACTTAGCAAAATTTGTACCTAACCTAGCAACGATAACAGCGCCAATCAGAGAACTGCTGAAGAAAGATATCGAGTTCTATTGGTCGCACGAGCAGACAAAAGCTTTTGATGAGATTAAAGAAATTCTTACCCAGCAACCAGTTCTAAAGTTTTTTGATCCAACTAAACCGGTTATAGTGCGTTGTGATGCCTCGCAGAATGGACTTGGTGCAGTTCTGATCCAGGAAGAACAACCAATTGCCTATGCGTCTCGTTCTATGACTGAAGCAGAAACCGGGTATGCACAGATTGAGAAAGAACTACTCTCTGTTTTATTTGCTCTTGAAAGATTCAATTCGTACACCTATGGCGTGAAAGTTCTTGTAGAAAATGACCATAAGCCACTTGAGATCATTTTAAAGAAATCCTTACATGATGCTCCTCTCAGATTGCAAAGGATGTTGTTAAGATTACAGAAATATGATTTTACCTGCAAGCATAAGCCGGGCAAGGATCTTGTGGTAGCGGACACTCTATTACGGGCACCACTTCCCACTACAGATTCAGAGTTAGAGAAAGAAATATCTTGCTATGTTCACATGGTAATGTTCAATCTTCCTGCGACCGATGACATGATGGCGAGACTCAGGATGGCCACAGAAGAAGATGAATTACTACGGCAGCTTAAGAAGACCGTTTTGAGCGGGTGGCCAGATACAAAACGAGAAACACCAGTCAAAATTAAGGAGTATTGGCATTGTAGAGAGGAAATCTCAGAGATTGATGATATTCTTTTGAAGAATGAAAAGATTATCATCCCAAGTTCCTTTCGACCAGAAATGTTGGAAAAGATTCATGCTGGACACATGGGAACCGAAAAATGCAAGAAACGTGCACGGGATGTTCTGTATTGGCCAGGGATGAATTCACAGATAGAAGAAATGGTCTTGAAATGTCCTAACTGTCTAGAATATCGACCATCAAACCAGAAAGAGCCCATGATAGTTCAACCAACTCCCACGATTCCATGGGATACTGTCGCCACTGATTTGTTCTACTGGAACAATTCAAACTATCTATTAGTTGTGGACTATTTTTCACGTTATTTTGAGATTGCGAAGTTGCCAGATATTAAGAGCAGCACTTTGGTTACTTACATGAAATCTATATTCGCCAGACACGGGATTCCTAGAGAAGTAAAGAGTGATAATGGTCGGCAGTACACATCACAAGAATTTGGAAAGTTTTCGCAAGAGTGGAATTTTCAACACACGACGACCAGTCCATACCATCCACAAGCTAATGGTCTAGCTGAAAGATCGGTGCAGACTGTCAAAAACTTATTAAACAAAGCAAACAGAGATGGAAGAGATCCTTACGTTAGTATTTTAGAATATCGAAATACACCCATTGATCAGATTGGTTCACCAGCGCAATTACTGATGAGAAGAAGATTAAGATCTGTTGTTCCCACAACGAAGTCTCTGTTACAACCTAAAGTCATTGATGAAGATCTAGCGAGTTCAAAGTTAATAACTAAGAAAACCTTTCAGAAACTGTATTATGACCGAGGCTCCAAAGAACTTCCTACAATATCACAAGGCGAGCAAGTTCGCATAAAGCAAGGAAAAATATGGAATCCAGCTGTGGTAACTAGTCAAGCACACACACCAAGGTCATATATTGTGCAAAGTCCAGATGGAAGCACTTACAGAAGAAACAGGAAACACATTCTCAAGACGAAAGAAGGAAATTCACAGTCATTTGGAAAAGAAGATTGTGATGATCCCATTAGTCAAAGCAATGAAGAGAATGCAGTTGGTACAGAACCAGCAAATGATGGTGATAATGCAGTATCTACAGAAGAAACATCAGAGGAACAATTACCAGTAACACTTGATAAACTATTTAGTGCATCTCCACTAAAGACTAGAAGTGGAAGAATAATTAGGAAACCAAACGGTATAAGGACTATTAGTTATGAACATTAGATAATAGTTGTTTGACAATTAATTAAACTTTAGATCAATTAGATAATTTTAGAATAATGACTTAAAAAGAACAAAAAAACCCCAACTTATACGTATATAGATTAGTATAGATACTTTTCTTATTTAAGAAGAGGGATGTTGTATTATTGTTTAATATGTTAATTTATGTATAAACTTAGCTATATAAGAGTTGCTGTACTCACATTAGTGTTAGTCTAATAAATGTTATACATACGGCGGATGTATAAACATAACAGCTTGTATCCAAAACTTGGCTTTCTCAATCGTATATCATCATTTTTACCTTCCGTAATTTTACTCCGTATCTACAAACAAACTATATTATCCATCTTGGACTATGCTTCAACTGTTTGGCATGAGTGCGGAACAATTCAAACGAGGCGGGTCGAGAAACTACAGAATCGTGCTTCGAGGATGGACATTACTAAACCACTGAAACGGCGAAACGAAACAGCGAAACAACGAAACAGCGAAACGAAACAGCGAAACAACACGTTTTATATTTTTTTAGTAAAAGAAATAAACTACATTTAAGTCAAACTACAAGGAAGTTAGACGAGATTAAATCCTTAAAGTTACAACGCCATCAGCACATAATTCATAAAAGTATTAACAATTTAATTTAATACTAATAGTCTCACGTATTAATCTTTATTATCGAATATTCGGAAGGATAGAAACTCTTCTGCTTTTCGAATGCTATCAAAGTTTCCTCTGTTATAAATTCTTTGAAGTTTTCATGTTGTTTTGACATTAAATTTTAGATGTGAAACGAGCATGTGTGTGGCCGGGGTGCTCGGTCAAAACGGCCCCAAGTCAAAACGACTCCAAGTCAAAACGACTCCAAAACCAAGTCAAAACGGCTGTTACATGCCTTGAAAATTATTATGCAAATAAAATTATTATTACACGAGTTCAAACTATAATAGGTTTTATGACAAAATTAATTCGAGGATTAGGTAATTTAGATTGTAAATATTGAACTATATGGAGTTATTTTATTCAAATATTCATCTATGCCTATATGGAGTTACTTTATTCAAATATTCTCATTATGAAATTGTATCGGATTTTTAAGTATTTTAGGCCGTGGGCTGTTGGCCAAAATTATTTCGCTTCGTGGCACCCATGTGGGAAATACTTGGTTTGGGGTTTATTTGAAAGACATATAGGTACATCACTAGCAAAAAAAGTTCCCAAGCAAAAAAGTTGCCCAATCCCGAGAAAATGGGTGATCAATGATTATCCTCTATTAAATTGTATTACAGCAAAAAAATGGGAAATTCTGTATTCAATTCACAATAAAAATTACTTTCATCATCAAAAAACGTACAAAAAACCGCATATAAGACTGTTAAACAGTTTTTGATTTTTCAAATAGTCTTTAAGTTATTGCTGTTTTAAATGTGAAAAACTGAAAATTGGACCAAAATGTCGCAATAAGGACTGGGTACAAGGTTAAAAACGCGTTTTTGACAGCGTATAACTCGAAAACAATTTTAGATATAAAAAACTGTTTAGATGTCTTATATGTAGGTTTTTGTAAGCTTTCTGATAATGCAAGTCATTTTTGTTGTAATTGAATACAAAATTTTACATTTTCTTGCTGTAATACAATTTAATTAACAATTATTCAGCGAAGGCGAGGTGATTATCGGTGAATAAAAACCGAGACGAAGTCGAGGTTTTTATTCACGATAATCACCGAGCCTGAGGTGAATAATTGTTTAGTATAATTTCATAGGTGATTATTTGGGAAAAAATAAGAAAATACACATTTCTTCGTCATTTAATTGACAAAAAGGCTTCGGCCGCCATTTTGAAAATCGCTTAGGTGATTATCGCGTAATAATCACCTCAACGGCAACCAATCAACGTGGAGAATTTTCAATAATCACCTATGTAATTATACTAATAGAGGATAATCACTGATCACCCATTTTCTCGGTGTTTTGCTTGGGAACTTTTTGTGGTAATTAAGCATCGATGGTTCTATGAATTGAACCACAGAAAATATATTTCCCAGGTGGGTGCCACGAAATTGCTTTTCTAGGCACTTTTTCGCACAACAGCCCACGGCCTATTTTTATTTTTGGTGCCTATATTACAATATTAACTATTGGGCCCCTATGCCTATGGATTTGTAAAGGTTTCACTAATACTTAATACAGGGCCTTTTTTAAGGATTTTCCCGTGGGAGGGCATTTTTTGAAAAGGGACCTTTCTGCGAGACAATATATTAGAGGGGGATAACGATGACTGAAAGCCACGTGTGTGGCAAATATACCACGCTTGAATGGGGGGTGGTCTGTGGGTGTACTCCCCCAGAAAATTTTTGAAATTTGACTCCCGGAAATGTCATTTCCTGCATTCTGAGCATCCAAATTTGCTCCAAAATTTATCCTAACTATACTTGTATTTGAAATAAATAAAGGAAGAAACGCACAAAAACTAAAAAAAAATTAACCATCATTTATCATTACTTATTAGAGGAGGATAGCAATGGTCAGGTGTGTGGGGGTGTACTCCCACAGAAAATTTTTGAAATTTGAAGCACGGAAATGCCATTTCCTGCATTCTGAGCATCCAAATTTGCTCTAAAATTTATGCTAACTATAGTTGTATTTGAAATAAAAGGTGGAAAAATGCACAAAAAGTAAAAAAGAATATTAACTGTAATTTATCGTTACTTATTAGAGGGATAATCCCAAGAAAATTTTTGAAATTTGAAACCGTGAAATGCTATTTCCTGCATTGTTAGCATCCAAAAAATAAAAAAATTATTAACAATATATAATTTATCATTACTTAGTGGTAAAAAAGTAACAATTTAAATCGATTTTGTTAAACAAGAACAAAGGATAAAGCCTAAAACTTACTTTCCGTTTATCTATTTGTTAATCTTCGTTGGATTGTTTGTATAATTTTAGGAAAAAGGGACTTCGTGATTTCGTGGGGGGGCACAAGGGGGGACTGGGGGGCATTTGCCCCCCCAGCTTGTATGTTAAAAAAGGCCCTGACTTCATAGTAATAAAACATACCGTACATGAAAACATTCTTCAATTTGGGTAAACGTGTCACAGTTTTGATGCTTATTTTACTTTTACCTACTGAGACTATTATGTGCTGATGCCGTGATGGCGTTGTACGGTTGTAACTTAATTAAGGATTTAATTTCATCTCGTCTAACGTCGTTTGACTTAAATATAGTTTATTCCTTTTACTAAAAATAATATAAAACGTGTTGTTTCGCTGTTTCGTTGTTTCGTTTCGCTGTTTCGTTGTTTCGCTGTTTCGTTTCGCTGTTTCGTGGTTTAGTAATGTCCTTCGAGGATTATATTTTAACGCCAATATTGGAGTTAAAAGAGCTCAAATTTTTTAACACCCCAAGAAACCCTTTCAAAGGATATTAAAATAACACCTTGAAAATAACAGTGTACTGCCGCACTTTTGCATTTTTCCAATCATAGATATAATTACAATCTATCATTATTTAATCGATAATATCGTCTTGTTTATACCTCTACTTAGCTAGGCTACAAATGAAAAAAGTTCCGTTTTGAGCTGGTCTATTTGAACTGCATATATTGACAATTAAAAAATGTGATGAAGTGCATACAGTAGCTATTCGTGATTTATTAAACAAATTGATATTACCAGATTAATACATATTTTTCAACATTCGCATGTAGGAATTCGACATCTCTAGTATTTGCGTGCGAGAATGCAAGTGCCAATGTTTTAATTAAGTAAATTACAGCAATTTTACACATGATAGTTTCTTACAAAACAACATACACAAACGTTCTGCTGCTGAATATTAAACGAAGATTCTCGAGATATTTATTCAGTTACGAGGCGATCAAATGCTTTTCTATCATATGAAAATTGATCAGTGGTTCAACCAGGAACATTTGTTTTGAAATTCCAATCCCAATTGCAATTGCAGTATTATAGCCAGTAAAGCAATTATTAAATGCAAATGATTTTGATAGTTGACATTTTCCACTTTCTTAAACATTGCCCTATTCATATAAAGAATATTGCGGATTTACGATTGTAGCCTATATGAATTCCTTGTGACCTGATTACTGATCGAGGTCTGCAAAATATCAACTAATAAACCGTATACATGAAGTCATTCAGTCACACTTATCTGAGAAGAGCATGGAGAACCGATCTTCTCTTCGAATCTTGCAAGTATTTTCAAGATATTGTAAAACTTGGGCTGCCCTAGCCAACTGAGAGTTCAAATTCAGACGTTGCATGCACAACAGAGATCTGACCCTGAGGGATAAGACGCTGCTTGATCTTCCGAAGCCCGAAGGTGAACAGTGCAATAGGTCAATCAACATTCAAGTATTCTGGTGCAAAAGACTGGAACTCTTTACCATTAAACATTAGAGAAATGATATCCTTCTCAAAATTTAAAAGTACTGTTTATTTAAAGTCTCACATTTGTAGTGTATAGGATGCATCGGTTCAATATTGTGTATAAAATAAGTGTAACGTTGATAATTGTCATCACTGTTCTCCCGCATTAATACCAGTAGCATTGCTGATGGGATTTTTAACATTAAATAAAGTATTATTATTATTATTATTTATATTAATCTATCAAATTCGTCGATCCAACCATCAAGCACTATGGGAAACAGTGGCGTAACGGAAGAAGAGGGGGCCCTTATGCATATTTGGTGTGGGGGCCCCTGTTGACTGTTGTCATTGTTTGACTAAGATATTATATTTATATTGAATATTTATAGAATGTTCCGGAAAATTCCATGTCTATAACAATGACAATGCATTTTCCCATTGATTCTTCACCTGCACTTTTTACGTTATCTAATTTTCTGGGCGATAGGCCGTGGCTGATGGGGGCTCCTAACTGTCGGGAGGCCTTAGTTTTTGAACTAACGCAATGAGCGTTACGCCTCTGATGGCAAACCTGGAGAACTAACAACTAATGTGGCCATTAACCTTTAAGTTATTTTAAGCTGTAAAACACGTTAATTAAAGTTTAATTACTTTTATAGCGATTTAACAACAAATAAGCACGACAGACATCATGCTGCATTTTTTATATCTATGAATATTTATCTGATCTTGCCTCGCTACATTGATTCATCTAATCGTCCTCCGCTCTTATAACGTATCTCGATTTATAACTTTGCTCAACAAAATCGAGGTGTTGACTCAATTAAAAAATGTTTTTAAAATGTTTTCATTTGGTAATATTCATTGTGACTCTCCTGCTGCTACAAGGTTAGTTTTCAGTCGTTTAAATATCATGCACTTATATTTCATATGCTTTTAAATATTTCCGCAGTATTGCCGTGCTTATCGTGGGAAAGTTATTTTGACACACATAATAACTACCGCGACTTACATTGTCATATTGAATATCATAAAAATACAGCACGAACAATAAAAGAGTGCATTCAAATTTCTATATTTTTATTATTTTTTCAGATGCTGCTGGTTTTTTTGTGAAACACATACAGACAGGGATGTGTATTGTTGACACAAATATAATAATAAGAAAAGGGGGATGGGGAAGCATTTATTTTCTAGAACTTTCCAACAACTCTCTGAATCCAGCTGCTCAGTTTCGGTTCCGTGATAGTGGTGCCATGTTAAATTTGAACAGAACAGGATGTCTTCATCCTGCATATAAGTATTCTGGGTATCGGCTTGATATGTTTTATCTTTTCGCTAATGAAAGAGTTTTAGACGGGGAAGCTTGTATTCGTCCTATAACCCAGACCTCTTGGGGAGGTTTATCTGTATATTATGAAGGGCATGGGAAAAAATCATTCGAGAATTGGTGTGCAATTCCTAAAACATATGAACCACTTGCTGCAAGTCATGGAATAGATCCCTACATCGGAATGACGACAAATTGTACTGACACCGAGGATAAACGTTTTAATTTTGGTAAGTTTCTTTAATTATATATATTTGTTTTCATCCTAGAACTTCAGTTCCAACAAACAGAAAAAAATTGTACGATGTTGCACAACCTAACATTCTCCAATTCTTTTACAATGGACCATGCAGTTATGGGTCGGTTTATGTGCTGGCTTGTGATTTATGAAAAAATATGTACAGTATAGAATACCCCAGAGGTATCTCAGTGGACCTTGCAATACATTTGTGCACGAAACGTGTAGGAAAATGATGGCGAAAATTTCGTAGATACTTACCTGTAAACTAAACTATTTCTATCATGTACATGCATGCACATATGGGCATCTTTGTATCGTCCGCTAGTCCGTCCTATGTTGGTTGTGAGATTGTTTTTCACAAAGCTTTCACCTAACCAATTTATAAGCTGTCAACATTAAACAGAGGGGAGAAACTTGAAAATTGCTGTTGTGCAAGGATATGATTAAGCAAGACAGGTCTTTCTATTGTACACAATACTTTTTGCCGGGCTGAAGGAATAAACTCAATAGTTTATTATTTCAGCGAACAAACTATTTTATTAACTCATGATGCATGAAATATTTTTGTTTTGTCCAAGGTTCAGTAACATGTCATGGAAATATGATAAAGAATGCCAACTGTCCTAAAAATCATACATGGTGGTCAAGACTGCATCTATCCGTAGATTGTTTGCCACAAAGACATGTGACCAATGTTGGTTGTGTCATTGTATTTCACAAAGCTTTCACATAACCAATTTATATATAAGCTGTCAACATTGAACAGGGGGAAAGAAAGTTGAAAATTGCTCTTTTGCAAGGATATATGATTAAGCCGCAAGACAGATATTTCTATTTACGCACGCACTGTCCACAATACATTTTGCCAGGGTTGAAGGAATAAAATCTATAGAGTTAGTTTATTATTGCAACGTATAAACTATTTTATTAACTGCATGAAGTCTTTTTGTTTTGTTCAAGGTTCAGTAACATGTCATGGAAATATGATAGAGAATGCCAATTGTCCTAGAGATCAGTACATGGTGGTCAAGACTGCATCTTACCGTGGATTGCCTGCCATAAAGACATGTGGCTTGAGTGATGATTATAGTTGTGAAGCTGATGTAACATGTCTTATAAAGAAACAATGTGATGGTCAACATGAGTGCCGTGTAACTGTGGATGACAACTTGTTCTCTGAAGATTCATGTTCTGAATCGACAAAATATCTTTACTTTGAATATCAATGTGTTAATACAATCAAGTCTTTCAGTAAAACTTGTGGTAAGTAAATTAAGCCGCATGGTGGCAGTGTAAATGTTACGGTTACTAATGCCAGATAGCCATGCATAAATCTTGTGTAAGAAAAAGGAAATATACAACCCATGTAACCTTCAATAAAGGTCTTATCATTCCTACCTACCTTCTTCTTTCCTCAATTTCAAGATCTTTTTAAACACACTTCAATTACTCATACTTATATCTTACACTATGATTCTTTTTAGCTCTGTTACCAAAAAAAGTGAACAAGTTGCATTATGAATCTACGCTATTTTATATAAAGATGCTATCTAACACATTGATATCGTTTTTTCTAGCTCTGGTACCAGATAAACCTAGAAACCTCACAGTCACTAACATCAAGTCTAGAAGTGCTGAAATATCTTGGCTGGATCCTAACCCTGGGAATCCATGGATTCAATTAAATATTACACAATTTTCGATCCAAGTGAAGAAAGATGACGTACTTATCCTCAGTGCTAACACAGGAAAAGTTTACAAATACAAATTAAGCGACTTCACTCCATACACTATGTATGAAATATCCGTAGCTGCTGGAAATACACATGGTTTCGGTGAAGAGACGAATACTTGGTTTCTAACATCTGAAGAAGGTGAGTGTTATTGAAAGATCAATTTTTTAAAACTAACCTTATGTACAACTTGAGGCCGTCAGCTATTTTGAGCCAAGTCAATGAACCCAGAATCAGACAAATCTACTGCTGAAACCGATTTAAGAAAAACAATATTATGTTGTTATTTTCCAGCTTGTTTTTCCTCCGGAACAATGTTATCAAGAATATTCAATATAAAAGCAGAAACCTTGTTTTTCGTATATAAACTGCACAATCTTAATGAAGAAATTAAAAAGGTTACTGCATGTATATCCATCCTTTAAAAGAAAAATTAAATTATATTACCTATATCTGTAAAGTCAGTTAATTTGGGTATACAACTCTTCTTGTAGGCTCTTATTAACTGACTTTCAATCTACTATATTCTATATATTGTAATATCACCTTTTAGTATAAATTTTGCATATCAAATGAGCTTTCGCGCGTTCTGATTGGCTAGTTGACTAGTAAATCTGAGGCATTATTTACCACCTGGGTAGTAAATAATGCTTTTCAAAAAGAATGATTCGGCAAATTTGGTTTCAAAATCGACAAAATATTGAAAAAATCGTCCCAGAAAAAGAAAAAAAGCACAAAATGTTGTATTTAACTTGAAAGGTAGGATTTAATATTATATTACTGTATCAAACATATTCACGGACAATTTAAAATATTTAAAACTCCGAAACATTCGCTTCAAACGTAAATCTGAAATAGCAAAAAATATCCCGACTTTTGGGAAAAGCCGTGATATTCTTTTTAAAACAATTTTGTTTTGTATCCTATAAATATCTCAATTTGTACGATACTATTTCTTTTGACTATGTCGTGTTTTCATTGTGCTGTATGGTATCCTTTCGCTGTATTGTACTATTTGTGTTTTTAAAACTTGTAAAGTGAAAAGTGTATTAAAACTTTTATATTAATTCGAACGATATAGTTTTACATTTCATTTTACCAAATTTTTCAGCCATTTCCTGAACAAATTAATGCTAAACAGAAACTATTTTTTAATTCTAAGTCTGGTAAAAAAGTCATTCCATCATTGTGTTTATATTCTAAGCAGAAATCGAGAAAAATAACTTTGTAATAAAGCAATAAAGTCGCACAGGAAGCCATTTTGAAAGCGTGCGTGTACAAGAAACACTGCAACACTATTAAAACCGTAAACCGGTCGAAAACATTCTGAATTCTAATTAAACTTATAGTTGGATAACTTGGATATTTTGTTTTATTCATTAAAAATTTATACTAAAACAATTATTCGCCTCAGGCTCAGTGATTACGGTGAATATTCACCTCGACTTCGTCTCGGTGAATATTCACCGGTAATCACTTCGCCTTCGGCGAATAATTGTATATATACTATTAAATGTATATATACTATTAAAGACAATTTGAACTTTTTCAACACTTATTTAATTAACACATATTTTATATTTCGTTTATATTAGTTACTTTCCATGTACAAATAATTACTGTTATTTCTATAATCTAATTTCTAACAAATTTATGTTATCATAGGGGTCTTTAATCAAAATCCCTTCAGGGTTTCACAAAGACCACTAGCCTAGGGAACTATGTAAACAATAACTTTAATCAAAATATGTAAATCATTTTGTTAGGCAATAAACAAACAAACAAATCTAAAAAAAAATATATCTGCATGGATACTACTCACAGCTAGTTTTCTTTAAGTGTTAATATTTCTATCAAAACATTTTCAGGGGCGGATCTAGGGGTTGTCAAATAAGTCGCGCGACTAACGTAAAAATTGCGCAGATAATTACTGATTCATAAAATTGTCCAGTACTCCAGTTGTAATCCTTCCTGCAGTGATAGCAAATGTAATTAATATTCACAATAGTCCAGTTATCAAGTTTCATTCAGCGGTTGTAAGCTCAGTGGCCTTGACTGACTTGAGGCAGATTCTGGCCATTTGATTGGTCGAGAATGGTTTTGCCTCATCTTCGTGGGGGTCTGCCTTATTTACGTCATCTATGAGGTATCTGATTGGCTGATTGAAGGAGAATTCTCCTCTCTCATTGGTTCAACTTTTTTGCCTCATCTTCGTGGGGGTCTGCCTTATTTGCGCAATATTTGAAGTTCTGATTGGTCGAAAAAGACCAAATTCTCTTCTCTCATTGGCTCTTATTTTTTGCCTCATCTGACTCATTCGGAAAGTTTAGGCATGGTAGAAAACCCGGGTAGCGGATAACCGGATAACCGGATAATCGGATAACCGGATAACCGGATAACCGGATAACCGGATAACCGGATAACCGGATAATCGGATAACCGGATAACCGGATAACCGGATAACCGAATAGTATATAGAGATTTTTTCATGGGAAATACTTACGTGTGGTATTTACGCACGCGTTATAATCTGTTTTCGCAAATTAAACGAACGAGCGAGTGCAAAATTTGTTCTTCATAGACGATACAGAGTTTATTTATATTACACAGCGAAAAATATAAAGGTTAATAAAGCGAGACAATCAGATAAACAAAGTCGTGTCGTACAAAAATACATTGGAAAATACAAATTTTTCAGTATTAATGAACAGGAAAGGAAATATCAATTTATTATTATTATTTACAAATATTTTAAAACGGTAGCTCTTCAGAACACCTTTGATCCGTTTTTCAAGAGGCCGTTTAAACTAATATTTACAAAGTTTAATAAAAATTACATCTAAAATATAATATAATATAAATTATCACACAGTTAAAGTCTAAGAGAATATATACAAAATATTGTGTCCCATCGTCACTTCTTTTGAATCTCATTTGGCAAATTATTCCAGCATTTTGCCCCTGAGTAGCTAATACTTTTTTTGAGGAAATTAGTCTTAGGTTTATCCAGTTGAAAATTAATTCCGTTATTTCTAAGGTCATATTTTTCATTATTAGTAGGCCTTTCCCGATTGCGCTGAGCACTTTTTGAGCACTTTTTTTTGTTTGGAGCAACATTTTGCATGTTGAGCAACGTTGAGCACTTTTTCGCACTTTGGGCAACATTTGAGCAATATTTCACATTTCGAGCGAATTTTGAGCAACAAAAAGTCAGCGATTATAGAATTCGATTCGTACCTCGATTAACTAAACATACAGTTCGAAGTAAGGTTTAAAAATTGACGGGTATTATACTATTATTTTATATATAATTTAGGTATAACTCCAAAAGAAAAGCCGTACAGCTGCATATGACATTACAGTTAAAAAATTAGAACTCTGACTTTTTCGAGTTCTCTTTTTTTGTCGTAAACAACTCCATATACGGAAGTTTGTTCCATATATGGAGAAAGACGTGGAAACAGATTTAAAAAAATGCTGATTTTAAAAAATTTACGAAAATCTTAAAGGTAACTGTTCACAATTTTAGCACTTTTTGAGCACTATTTTGAGATTTTGAGCCGACTTTTTGAGCACTTTTTAGCCATTTTTGCCAGCACTTTTTTAGGATTTTACAAAATATTAAAGTAACAACAGTTGATTGGCTTCCTTGTTTTTACCGACTTAGCTACTCTTGAAGTGCAAAGGATAATTTTCAATTCTCGTTAGAAGTTGGTATTTTTAATAGCATCACTTTAATACAGACAGTTCTTTAATATTGATCCTTTCTCACACGAAATATTTTATAAAAAACCTTTTGATTCAATACAAACATGTCAGCAGAAGATCAACTTGTTGTTTATAAATATAAAACTGGCGCATCCGCTTAAAAGGGAATAATTTGTAGTGTATGCAATCTTTCGTGCTATAGCCTATACTGTGTCAGTACCTCCATAATGATATATATAGGAGTCAGGACATATAGCCTAGTACCGCGTCGTCGTGTGCGACCTTCTTATATGTAGGCTAGTATGCTCGGTATGCTATGCCATATTATAGACGGCCAACAATATTGAATCTCAGAGCAAGCGAAAACTCGAGCGAAAACGCGGATAGAGTCGTAGGATTTTTACTCGTACTAAAATTCCCTCACTGAGTGTCAGTTTAATTTACAGTTTAAACATGAACGAATAGACACACATGCATGCGTTGAAACATCATTTATATATACCAACTTTATAATACATACATGGTCTATAACTCTAACTTGTTTGTATTTTTGTCATTTTAATTGAGTGAAAGGTTTATATTATCACGCGCTATAAAAGCTTTTTTACCAGGTTTTTTATAAAATATTTCGTGTGAGAAAGGATCAATATTAAAGAACTGTCTGTATTAAAGTGATGCTATTAAAAATACCAACTTCTAACGGGAATTGAAAATTATCCTTTGCACTTCAAGAGTAGCTAAGTCGGTAAAAACAAGGAAGCCAATCAACTGTTGTTACTTTAATATTTTGAATTTTACTTTAATGCGCCGGTAAAATCCTAAAAAAGTGCTGGCAAAAATGGCTAAAAAGTGCTCAAAAAGTCGGCTCAAAATCTCAAAATAGTGCTCAAAAAGTGCTAAAATTGTGAACAGTTACCTCTAAGATTTTCGTAAATTTTTTAAAATCAGCATTTTTTAAATCTGTTTCCACGTCTTTCTCCATATATGGAACAAACTTCCGTATATGGAGTTGTTTACGACAAAAAAAAAAAAAAAACAACTCGAAAAAGTCAGCGTTCTAATTTTTTAACTGTAATGTCATATGCAGCTGTACGGCTTTTCTTTTGGAGTTATACCT